TTCTTCTGTATCAAGTTACCCAATGTTAATTACCAAATTCCTTTCTGGTGGAAGTTCAATGGACATATTATTTCGTTATTTATCATGATCTTACCGGTGATTACTCATATTTATACCTTCTTCGAAAAGAACGTTTTCTTAATAAAATCCAGTCTCTTATGTAATTTGAACAAAACTTTTCATTACTATTCAACGAAAATCAATGAATCGATTTGTCTTATTTCTTTCGACATTACTTTACTTGATACATGTCGGTACGATCTGAAGAGCGAAAATTGAGGTGGGAAAAACTTGAAAGATTCTACTCCATATAAAGCTTTTATAATTCACCACGAGATCGCAGCACTTCTCTTGGAATTGTCATTTTACGTCGGTGTGGTCACTTTTTTGTAAAACTGCTATTATTCATTCATCAAATGATTAAAGTTGTAAAAAATAAAGATAAAATAAAATTATATCTTTGCTTTTCTAATTTTACATACGATCTTTTTTAAACGGAACAATATCCTCATCCTTACCGTCGCTATCATCATCAATTACTATCTTTATTCTTATTTTTGCTGTCGTCTTCGTTATCATCGTCGTTATCGTTATTGTTATTATCGTCATCGTTGTCGTCATCGTCGCCGTTGTTGTCGTCGTCATCGTTATCATCGTCGCCGTCGCCGTCGTCGTCGTTGTTGTTGTATCATTCTAGTCTCTCTCTAGTCTTTATTATCATTTTACAATGCATCCTAAAATTATACGTAAAAACACACAACCCCCACAGGTACTTGCAGACACAAATTTGGCAAATCTTCTTCGTGAGCAACAACAACAACAAGAACGACAACAAGAACAACAACGATGTCAGCGAAAATGTTATTACGAAGGTAATAGAGAATTTCCATTAGAAGGGGAGACTCAGCAATATAAATCTACAGCAAATGGGAATCCAGAGGAAATATGTGTGACAAATTTAGTGGATGGAGAGAGCTTATGTTACAGTTTAGCTCTAATACGAGGTCGTGCACCAATAGCGTGTAATTTCATCATTGTACGAAATCAAGAAAATCAAAGTTCCGAATGGCCAATCGTTTCCGGTGAATTTCGTGCGATAGTAGAATTAACACGAGGTCCAAATAAGTTGGAATTCGAAGCAGCAGGTCAAAGAAAAGGACTTGTTTTAATTCACGAACCAAGAACGACAAGACTACGCGTAACTCCCGTCTATGTGATTTGCTCTGGGCACGATGGATATTTCCAAGGTCCACGAGGAGAAGATCGGTCGCCGGAAAGCGCTGCGACAAGAATAGGTCTTGGTGCCCGACTTTTACAAACTCTCACCGCCGAAAAGTTAAGGGAGGCAGGTTATGGAAGGAAAACGTTTCAACTGGAACGAGACTTGGATGGTGCAGAGTGTTTGGTTATGCATAGCATGCTTGATGTCGATCGAGCACGTGCGATGAATCAACGAGAACTTTGGGAATTAATCGCGCGTGAATTAATGACCGGTCCTTTGGCATCAAAAGATCGCAAGTATCTTGCATTTCTTTCGTGTACCAGATATCGAGGGGCACCAAATCCACGCACTCACGAAGACACTCTTGCGAGGACTCAAGGACACGCCGCGCTCGGTGGCGGTGGATTAGCGTTATTGGTTCAGCTTGTCTTCATACATGGCCCACCTGCATGGCTCAAATATTATCTAGATTTCTTGACGCCACAATCATCGATACAGAACAATTAATGGATGATAGTAATTATCGCGGCACACACGGTGGCTGTTTCGCCACAACTCTTGGCGCAGTTCTCCATGAATTAGGGCACACTTTCGATCTTGGCCATACCCGCGAAGGCATAATGGGCCGCGGATTCGATTACGTTGATCGTGTATTTGTCGGAGCAGCTGGAATCGATTTCAATCGCAACCCTGTACTACGAAGAGATCCTCAGCATACAACGATCGCATTAAGTAGGCCACTCAGCGTTACGGTCACGATACAAGAACCGTATGCTTTATTAGCAAGCCCTCGAAGAAATCGTCTGCTTTCCGAATCGTCCCGCCCTTCGTCTTCTCAAAATCCTTCACGATTACTCGGCAGGCTATCCGCACCCGCTAGTCCAGAACTCAACAGATCCTTTTCCAAGAGTCTCTTACAAACTCAACCTGCATTGGAACAAACTCCTAATTCACAAACTGATCGAACATTTTGGTCGCCGTCTTGCGCAGCATTTCTCGCCTATCATCGATGGTTCAACAGCGAGATGGACAACGTTTTTACTCGACCTTTCCACGACATCGAATATGATGGGAAAAGGTATAATCAAGTACCTCTCCCTCAATCCTGATCCACTAACATAAACTGAACTCAACACTCAACACCCACCTGACCCATACACATATTCTTCCATCTTCTTTTTTTGTTCCACCTCCTTTCATACATTCTTTTCTTTACTTTTTCCTATTGCTTCTCTTCCAAATATGATAATCATATGTATTTTTGTCTTTGATCACAGGAATGTCATAAGATCGCGTTTCGGAGTACGAGTAATAGAACTTAGAGAAACATCTGGTGGAATGGTGGTTGGTTCTCGACAATTTCCAGGCTCTCGGCCACCTTTGGAGGCGTTAGTTCCACTAGCTCCACCACATATTATTGCCGCACTGACTCTCGTTGCTGAAGATTCGACTGGCAATATTCTTAAATATCCTCTTCCAACTGCATTTTGAAGTTTGCAGCATTATATTGATACGCTTTACTACAAATTTTATATTTTAATAGCGACAATACAACCAAATTCGAATTAATGCCAATAAGTTACATCTTCTTTTTTAATTTTCTTAGAATCAATAAGCACGATATTAATATAATTAACGATAATGCTTGGTCGCTAAAAATAATTTGAAAAATTCAATCTCGATATATATTTGCTTTTTAATTATTATCGATGTTTGTCTAAGATAAGCTTATCTAAAATGCTATATGTTACAAGACATATTTTTTCCATTATGAATAATTTTTATGATCACTGCAATAGTAAAGCTATTTTAATCAAAACTAAAAAATCTTATACTCTATAACAAATCTCTAATAGTAAAATGATAAGAGTAAGTAAATGAATGTAAGTATGTGTGTGAGAGAGAAAGAAAGAGAGATGTATATGCTTGTATTTAAATGAGAGAAGAAAAAAATAAAAATTTCATACATTGCTGCTTGGTTTATAATAATTTCTGTAGTACCTATTGTATATATGTATTATTCTAAATATGAATTTGTGACATAATAATTATTATACTATTATAGTTAATAAAAAATATATTGCGCGCTAATAATTATATGCATGTATGTGATGAATGTATATGTAAATACATGTACAATTATATAAAAGAAAAGAACGCTAAAATAAAAAAATTTTTATTTGTTATTAATGATTTAAGAAAGTGATATAACATTATTATTAAACTGTTGTATATATATACATACAACATTCATAAATATAAATTTAGTTTTATAATATTAAAATTTTAATTAGTGAATTAAAAATTTGTTATCATCATTAAATAAAACAAATAATAAAATAAATAATAATAAATAATAAATAACAATAAATAAAATACAACTGTAATAATAACAATTAATATAAATATTAATAATAATAATATATTGAAATTTAAAAAAAATTGATAAATTATAAAAATTCAATGATAATATATTTATTTATTTAATTTAATTATCTAATATAAAAAAAATATAAAAAAAATTATTTTATTATTTATAATTTTATCAAGAGATTATATGATACTATATTATCTACTATCTATTTCACGGAACATTTAAAAGCTGTTGATTGCTCTTCGAAATTTTAGTAATTGATATATCAAAATCGTATTTCCACGTATAGTATCATATATCGTATTCATAAAAAGTAACATATGTACTTACCAAAAATATTGCTGCAAACTATCGATTGATAAAACGTAGTAAATAAACGATAAAGCATAAAAGAACACTATTAAAACGTTTCAAAACAAAAATATCTATATATATATATGTATATATATATATATTGTTTTTTAATTATATGTGAAATTACGTTCATCATCATTGTAAAATTATGTCACATTTTTCGAGCGCTAATGATGACAACGATGTGCTTGTTAATGAAATCGAAATTTTATTTCCAGAAATCATAGAAGACGATAAAATAAGAACGGTTGAATTTTTGAATGCAGCACGAGGCATTGTGCGAATTGTTGGTATGTATGTGTTTACATACATTTATAATCAATGGTACATAACCTACATAAAAGAACAAAAATATAAAATTGATCAAATATTTCAGAAAAACTTGGCAAAGTATTCGCACCAGTTAAATATGATATTAATGGTAACATTGATGTAAGTATATATATCTATATATATAATAAAACCTAATCGTATTATAATATACAATTCATTCATAGTATTCAAGTATAATTTTAGAAACTCGAAACGAGGTATGCAACGAATAAAGAAAGAAATGTAATTCTACAAGACATGATTTTAATTGAAAAAGCTACTGAGACTAATTTAATCGCAACGGATGCTTTACTGTGGTTAACAAGGTTCGTGCAAACTATCGTATAATTTTGTATAATTTCCTATATAATTTATATACATATATAATTACCTATTTTATTCAATTTAATTCAATTTGTACATTTTTTTTATTTATTATGTTTATTGATTGAACTTCAATTTAACAATTACAGAGCATTACATATGATTTTACTTTTTTTCGAGAAAATTGTAGAAGATGCTAAAACAACTACACCAACAGAAGATCTAGTTGCATTTTTAAAAAAATCTTATAAAGAAGCTTTAGAACCATATCATGGTTGGATGGCACAACAACTTTTTGATGTAAGCATTCATTCAAAACATACTTAACATATTCTTATTATTGATAATTTTTTGAACAATAATAAATTATAAATTATTATTCAATTATCTTTTTTATCACTTTTTCTATAATCATGTTAATGTCATATTAATTTTTAATTTTTTGTTAACAGCTACTCTCACGAATGGTTCCTACACGTTTGCAACTTTTACAAGCACTTACCAATAAACAAAATATTGAAAATGATATTATTATCAACAATATAGAAACATATTTAATGCGTTTACGAAAAAATGTATCAGTAATACAGTTGTTTTATAAAACTCACAATCTTGATACATAATCATGATATAAGACATTATTAATTAAATAGGCTACCTATATATATTAGGTATTGATTGATTAGAAATTTTTACCAAACAAAAAATCAGATATTTATATTTTAATATAAAAATTATGTTCTATATATATTTATTTTAGAAGACAAATTACCGTCCATCATTTGTACTATATAAATGCATTAAATAAAATACTTTAGCACGATGATTTGCCAAATTTTTCAAGGCAATCATACCTGTAATAATTTCAATAAAAAGAAGGCAAATCATAAGAAAATTGACAAATATTTCACTATAATGAAATAAAATCCAATAATCAAATAGAAGATACATCTCTAGGGGAAGTTGTATCAATATTGAAATTAACCAGCAACTAGTTAATTCTGGAATCTAATAATTTTTTTATATTATAAAATACTAGAAATCAAATTCTATGATAAATAAATTAGAATTACCTTTCCAATAAGATTTCCTGCATATCCCAAATATAATTTTAAACTTTCAAAAATTGAAAGTATCAAAAATATTGTTACAGCTATCAATTTATAAATATTTGTTAAATTATTGTACTATAAGAATAATAAAGAAAATTAATAAACATAACTTTATTAAATAATAATTCTGTAATTTCACTAAAAAATAATATTTACTTTTGCATCCAAGTTTATTATACTAATTATCAGCCAAATTGGAAAAAGCCATAAATTCAAATATAAAGCTATTTGAAACGGTAGGTTAGATCTTGTTTTATTATCTGGAACATATTCATATATATATATATATATATATATATATATATATATATATTATTTT